TTGATAGGTATTGGCTATTTGCTAGAAATAACAATTTATACTTCCACCAGCTGTGTATGTGAATAATCATTTCCCTGTATCCTCACTTGCACAGATGTTTATCATTTTATTACAACTTTACTCAATTGTTAGATTGAAATAATATCCCTTTGTTTAATTTGGGTTTCTTTAATAAAGAAAAATTTTTATTTCATCTATGATAAATGGTGTCTAGATGCTCTTTATATATCTTTTGCAAATTTTTTATTTAAACCAACACACAATTGTGTACAAATCAACAAGAAAACACCAAAACCTTAATAATAAAATAGATAGTTATGTACATATACATTTGTGGCAAATAATTTCCCTAGTTCATCATCTGGCTTTAAATTTTTATGTTAAATGACCTAACAAACACACTCCTAGGTATATATCCAAGAGAATGAAAACATACATCATAAAAATTCATACAGAATGTTCATAAAAGCATTATTCATAATAGCCCAAAAGTGGAAATAACCCAAATCTCCAACTGATGAATGGATAGACAAAATGTGGTATTATACACATACAATGAAATACAATATGCCCATAAAAAGGAATGAAGTAATGACTCATACTTCAGCATGGATAAACCTTGAAAATATTATGCTAAATGAAAGAAGCCAGTTACAAAACGCCACATATTGTGTGATTCTATTTATATGAAATATCCAGAATAGACATACCTATAGAAACAAAGTAGATGAGTAATTTAGGGCTGGGGAAGAGGGGGTGGTAGAGAGTGACCGCTCATGGACACCGGGTTTCGTTTTGGGGTGATGAAAATGTTCAAAAATTAGATAGTAATAATAGTTTCACAACCCACTGAATATATGAAAATTCACTGACTTGTACACTTCAAATACGTGAATTTACATATATATGTACGTATTGTATGTGATTATATCTCAATAAAGCTGTTTTTAAAACAGTCTATTAAAACTTACAAAAAAGGTGAATTTGTCTCTTACTCTAATTTTAGAAGTTTTAATACAACATAATTTTTGAAGCTATGTTTTTAGATAACATAGAATGTTCAGGGCAATTACATCTTCTTGGGAAACTGTGTGTTATTAATATGAAATATCCCTCCTTGACCTGTTCAATGCATTTTGCCTTAAATTCTATTTTGTCTGATATTAGCAGTATTACGACTTTCTTTTGCGTTTGTGTGGAATATTTTTCTCCAAATTTCTAATTTCAAGGTTGCTTTTTTCTTTTAGAAACATCTTGCATACATATACAACTTAGAGCTGTATTTTTTTTTAAAAAAGTATGAGATTCTACTAACAGGAATTTAACCCATTCACCATTACTATTATCCATACTTATTCCATCATTGTGTATTTTATTTATTTACTATATACTTCCTTGTTTTCTCTGCCTTTGGTTGGAATGATGAACTTTTAAATTTTTACTCTCATGATTTATATTAAATATCCTATTTGTGGTTATTCTTCATATATCTCAGATTATGTTTTTCTAACAAAGTATAAAGTTAATCTACATCTCGTTTTCCTGAAAAAGAATCTTTTATCACTTCTTTTTCTTCTGCTCTCCCATGTTTAAGCTGATCTGGCTCAGACTGATATATTTAAAGATTAACATAATAGATACAACACTCTGAGGCTCAACTAACATTTTACTGCACATGTGTGTACTGTAAAGCTCTCCACTGTTTCTTCACCTCAATACTGTGTCTTCATGACATGCCTTCCCCTTCTTTGGTCCCCGCTTCCCCCTTTTTGGGGGTCAGGAGTGCTTTCATAAATAATTCTTTCAAAGATCTGTAACATTCCAAAAAGGTAAATCATTGCAGGTCCAAAAATGTTTTTATTTTCTTCTCACATCAAATTGCGGAGTTGTCTGAATACAGAAGTATGGGTTCAAATAATATTTTTCCCATAACTTCAAAATTACTGCATTCTATCTTCTATTACTTGTTTTTACCAATAACAGGACCACTTCTTTCCTTTGTAGGTGAACTGTTTTGCTCTCTGGAAGCTTTTAGTCAGTTCCTTTTTTATCACTAGCACTCTGATGTTTCATATGAAGGTGTTTAAGTGTAGGTCTTTAGTTATTCTTTTATTCAATACTTACTGGGCCTTTTCAAGACTGGTCTGTCTTCAGTCTGAAGAAATTTCTTCCTATGATTTCTGTGATTATAACTCTCCTCCATTCTCTTTATTTGAATTTTCTATGAGATGAATGTTGAAGCTTTAAAATGGCCTCTACATAAATATGACTTTTTGTTCATACTGTGCAACTTTCTCAATTTAAGACTGTATTCTAAAGAATCCCTTAGCTCAATCATTCAATTCATTAATTTGTTTTTAGCTGTGTCCACTCTATTTAGACCGTTTGTTTTTTTCCATCTTGACAAGCGTATTTTTTAATTCTAAGACTGGCTTAATTCATTCTATCTTAGGTTTGTTTTATACATGCAATAATCTCTCTTATCTCTCTGTGAATATTAATTTTACTTATTTCAAAGTCTGCTGTCATTGTTATTTTTTGCTTATTACATTTGGTGCCTCATTTTGCTATAAATGTTCAATGATTCTTAGCAGAAGATCATTTCAGATTCCCCATTTGTCTGTATATGCTGTTTTTGTTTACCACCATCAAAATCCAGTGATAATGTAGGATATGATGCCAGGTGTCAGGTATGTGCCAGAAGTTTGTCTTCCCAGCATGGGACTCCTTGAACTTCCTGACAAGCAAAGGCTACTTGAGGGGTCTCCCAGCCTCTCTCTGGTCCCTGGGTTACACCCAGTGCTTGAGCTTGGATTCACAGGATATGGAGGGAGGGGTGTCACTACGGGCCTAGTCACTCCATATGCACCTCCTTCTCTAACACTACAGGCCCCCTCCCCACTACTTGAATATGACTCTGGTTTGAGAACACTATTCATCTGTATATTTTGAGCTGCAGCTCCACCAGGTTTTATTTTCCATGGATGTGATTCCTCATTCTTATCATCTTTCAGGAATTCCTGAAATTTCCACCCACCAACCCTTTCTTGTTTTCCCAGGTTACCATTTTATTCACGTATGTGTTTATATGGATACAAATATACATGTGCACCTTCTCTGTCATCTTAAAGAAGGTGGAATCGTGGATATGCCAGTAGTGCTGGCAGCAGAGTTAAAGGATATCATAAGCTCAGCTTACCCTCTTGATCACTTTCTCAGTATCATTATTTGCTGAAAAGTCTGTACTCCAATGTTAATATGGCCATTCCTCTAAATCTCAGACTTGTATATCCAACTTCTATTTGACATTTCTTGGATTTCTCACAGGCATCTCAACTTAACACGTCCAAAACTGAATTACTGATCTTATCCCCACCAAATCCGCTCTAGTCAGGCATCATCCACATACTAGAACCCCTGGAGCAAACTCCCCTTCCTCCACTTATTACCAAGTAGTCCCTACAAAATAGATTTAACTTCTTTCCATTTCTACCACTATTAACTTTGTCTGAGCCACCATCATCACTCATCGGAGCTAGTATAACAGCCTCTGAATTGGTCTTACTGCTTCTCCTCTTCCAAGTCATTCTCCCCAGATTAGCCAGAGCCAATGTTTAAAAATACAAATCAGATCATATCATTCCCTTGCTTAAAGCTCTTCCATTTCTTCTCACTGCTATGGGAATGAATTCCAAACTCTTTCATGTTAAATGCTGTATCTCTGAAGAATCTGGAGGCTAGGTCTCTGCTATTTATTAAAGATTTCTTTGATGCCAATAGCTTATTAGCCTGCCTGGATTCTATGAGTTTGACTTCTCCTTTCCTTTTCTTTGTTCTACTACCTTGCTGAGGCGTTCCATAACTTCACCTTGAATTAATATAGTTATAATTCCTCTTAACTACAGTGCCTATATCATAAAACTTATAGTTGTACTCTTTAGATATTCGGCATTTCTATCTAGCTATATAGCTAGATCTGTCCCTTCAGCAACTGTCCTTCCCAAATGAACAAGTCAAGTCAAAGGTCTAGATGCCTCTTAGTCTAACTTGCTATAAAATGGGAATACTACCAGTTAAGTTCAATATATGACAGGTTAGTCTAGGCTTTCACTGTGTGAATCTGGGTAAAAATCCTAACTACTCTGGGACACAGCTTCCTTTTCTGTCAAATGAGGGTCCTATGATTTCTAAGATCTCTTCCTTTTCTAGTGGTCACAGATTCCATGCCCTAATATATTTCTTAGAGAGAAGTATAAAACCTATCACTCAAGTCCCATGAAAGTTATACAGAATATTCTATTTCAGATTTAAAAAAGACTTTCATCAAAGAGAAAAATAACTCAACTCGAGGTTTCTGAAGACAAGATACCATGGATTCACTTTGCCAAGATTTAGTGTGTCCTCAATTGCTCAATGAACACACACAACCTCAAGAACTGAAAATACAGTAACAGTAACAAGCGCCACTACTATTACTGCTATACAGTAACAACTGAAAGGCTCTAGCTCATCCTGGGTAATGACCAAAAACGCATTATATAATAATCAAGTAGAAATAGGAACCAGAAAAAAGAAATAAGGCACAATAGGTACCAAAGGCTTCTTCCTGAAAGATCAATAAAGATCAATATTTCATACTGGCTTACACAAAGAGCCAACATATCCCTCTTGCTCCATTTCTTCTCCTTTTTTATAATAATGGTAAAGGGAGAGGCTCTCTGGAGTAAGTTACTAGTCTGATCTAATTTGTTTTAATAGTCTTTAAATCTGACTACAGTCAATTCTAAATCTTGATCCAAACCATAAACACCAAAAAAAGAAAAGAAAGAAAGAAAAAAGAAAAACTCCCTTCTTCTCTAATAACCTAACTCCTAACTAACCTTCCCATCAACTGTGTAACCTCTGAGAATGGGAAGCTATTCCCACCGACACTTAATTACTACGCCAAGTCTGCATACTACTGACGGGTTTCACAAAGTAAATGACCCACACTGATTTACCTGGTACATTCCAACTCCAATGTGCTTCGGCTCAATTTTCACCAGCTCAGCTAATGGGTCTTGTACACGCCTTGCTATGGAAACTGAAAAAAACAGAAAATAAGTATGACTTAATGTGAAAAGCAGTATCCAAATAATTACGTTAGTCCCTCATAATTCAAGTATTTAATTCCTTCCCTCTTCCCCCACATAAAGAGACCAACAATTTAACTAAGTTTCAAAGTTTCCTTTTTTTTCACACAAAAAAAGTGAATGCAAAATTTTGGGATTAATTTTGTTACCAGAATCTGTAGGGATTCCTGAGCACAAACAGATTGAAAGGTTTATACATTTGGAAAAACAGATAAAACACTTACTTGCTATACGTACAAAATCACTTGTTTAACACAGCATAGCAGGGCACCTCATACTTTAATGAACAAGTCGATATTTGCTTTTACTTTTAAATAATGCTGCATTATTATGACATACATTTGTAAATCAAATATGTTACTGGACTCAATCCTGATAGTGATAAGTAACTGATGGAATCATACCTTACTGCACCCAGAGACCAAGTCAGTTGGCTAGTGAACACACTTATATTGCCTTAAATGTGATTACAAGATTAACTGTGAAGTGATCTGAATTTCAACTGCTCATCTCTGAACACACTCACAGTTCTAAATCACATCCCTTTCTTGACCATCACAATCCATGTTCAAGAGATTTGAGTTAGCTTCAAACATTCCTTTATCTGTTGTCATCTTTTTACTTCGTCATCACTTCTCATCTTTTTTTTTTTTTATAAAATGTTAACAAAATTTTATATCTAATTTAGCTTATAAGATAGATTTAGCTGGAGGGGCGCCTGGGTGGCTCAGTCGTTAAGCATCTGCCTTCGGCTCAGGTCACGATCCCAGGATCCTGGGATCAAGCCCCGCATTGGGATCCCTGCTCGCATTGGGCTCCCTGCTCGGCGGGAAGCCTGCTTCTCCCTCTCCCCCTCCCTCTGCTTGTGTTCCCTCTCTCGCTGTGTCTGTCAAATAAATAAATAAAATCTTAAAAAAAAAAAAAAGATTTAGCTGGAGAAAAGAAATTTAGTATGAATATTAAGGATGCTTCCAAGGGCAGCTCTTTTTTTCTTTTCCCAAGTCCAGGTCCTTACATACAAACAGCTTTCATTTTCTAAATGCGAGAAAGCTAGTCAGTATCATCTATTCAAACAGAAAGTTGGATGAAATATAAACTCATTTAGTGAAAACACTAAAGCCATCAAAGGATCCCATGCCTGTTCTTGTGTTATTAAACTGTTCAAGGTCTGGCAACAGAAGCCACCACTTGCAAGTGACTACCGGACTCTCCTGTCACTGATTTGTACCACCTCTTCATCAGAGATAAGATCTACTCTGAGCATTCAGTTCACTGCATGTTCATTCAAGTCTTTCTCAGATATTTTATTATTACTTCTAACATACAGTGACAATGGCAGCTTGCAAGCAAACTAGAGAGCAATAAGCTGGTGTCATACAATCTGCCTATTTCCCCACTGAAGAAATGCGGACTCCAGCCTCCAAGGCCTTCACATACATTTTCTTATCAAACCTTACAAAAGGCTAATGAGGGCAAACGCTGCAGGTTACAGGGGAGCTGCTTCCCCCCAGTAATCACATGTATAATTACACAGCGAGAATAGATGCCACCAGAGAAACATCTGATACTCTGAAAGCAAAGATAATTTTTTATTCTAGTCTTTAAAAATATAATCCAATAAGACTGATTTTCGAACATATGCATACATTGCCAAAATACTTTCTGATTTAGAAAAAAAAAACCAAAAAAAACACAACCCACAACACTAAACCAAGTGAAAGATATAGGCATCAGAACATTCACTGCAGGAAGGTATCAGAAATTTTAAAAAAGGATATTAATAATAAGTAAATCTCTCTAATCTACCCCTTCAGGAAAACCCACACTATGAAAATCTAAACTTAGAAACTGGTTATAGAGCAGCTGTATAATTTGTTAAGTGTGAGTAGGTTTCTATATTTAAAATTTTTTTTAGGTACAGAAAAGGACTTTCCCCTATTTTCTACCTGGTTTCCTCCTAACTGGTTCATTGCTAGCATCTCCTTTGTTCATCCTGATATTGCTAAATGCAGCAACAGTGAACTAGAAATGACAGTTTCTAGATGACATATTAATTCTCCAGTTAAGTCCCAAGAGCCTCTGGAGTTACAGTGTCCCCAATAAACAACCTCTACATAGACCCTAATGTTTCTAGAATTGGTATTTCGCTTTCAGATGTTACTCACTCTACAGAGCATAAAAACTCAAGCAAGCATGGAAGAGATGGGAGATAGGAGAAAGAGGAAAATGAATATTGCTCATCTGAAGGATGTTCACTGTTCATGAAGGAGGGAATTTAAACATTGTTTAAAGTAGAATTGGAAAGCTGTATGTCCAGGCTTTCAAGAGAAGACGATGCTGGCAGGAATTAATTAACAGTAGTAACGCACACCTGTAGGTTGAGAATGATCAGGCTGACAATAGAGTCCTGAAAGTAAGAGATAGACAGGTAGCTCAGGTAAAAGGAGTCTTATAGAGTGCTGATAAAGAGAACGAAGAGAAAGGAAGAGTCATGGCCCAAAACTTGGGGGCATATTCACATTGTGACATAGAGAAGAAAAGATGGACACAGTGAAAGAGGCAGAAACTAAACAGTGAGGAAAGTATAGCAACAGAAGTAAAAAAAATTCTAGAAAATGTTTGCATAGTTACCATATGTCCGCAAATTTTTACTACTATGTGGCATATGTTCAAGAAAAATGAAAACATATGTCCACGTAAAATTTTGTATATGAATGTCCATAGCAGCATTATTTATAACAGCGAAAAAAGGTGAAAACAACCCAAATATCCATCAGCAGATGAATGGATGAACAAAATATGGTATACCCATACAATGGAAAATTATTTGTCAATGGGAAGGAATGAAGGGCTGATACACGCTACAGTGTGAATGAACTTTGAAAACATTATAAGTGAAAGAAGCCAGTTACAAAAGACCACATGTTGTAATGATTCCATTTACACAAAATGTCTGCAATAGGCAAATCCATAGAGACAGAAAGTAGATCAGTATTTATCAGGGCTTGGGGGAAGAGGGCCAAGGGGACCGATTGCTAATAGGTGTTGGGTTTCTATTTGGAGTGATGAAAATATTCTAAAATTGGATAGTGGCAATGGTTGCACAATTCTGACCGGACTAAAAAACACTGACTTACACTCTTTAAAGGGGCAAACTTTATGCTACTAAATTGTATCTCAATGAGGCTGTTATATATTTTTTAAATGTAATATATCCAAATGTATGCCAATACTATTTTGCCCACATGATGTCAGTATATCTCTGTATCACTGTTACTATTCACCATTGTCCAGGAAATTCTAGTCAATGCAACTGGACAAGGAAAAAAAGAAGGTATAATTACCAAAAAGATAGAAACTAGATTATTATTTGCAGATGATGATTGACTACTTTAGAAAACCCAAACAAGTCAACTGAAAAACTATTAGAACTAATAAGATTTCAATTGGCTGGTTTTAAGACACCCAGACAATAACTGATACAGAACGATATGCCATCAACAACCAATAAGAAAATACATGGAGGACAATCCATCTACTTTGTGTGTGCATGTGTGTGTGCTGCCTGTGAGTAATGAAGTGTACAGAACTAGGATAAAGGTGCCAATTTAACAGAATTTCAATTAAATGGCTCTAAAATGTATATGGAAAAAAAGAAATAGGAAAAGTGCAATTAAAAAAAGATCAAAGCAAGTCACATCATAAGCCACCATAACTGAGAGTCTTGCGCTGTGGCAAATTAGTCAGACCAAGGAAAAGAGGACTAAAAATACACACAGGAATTTCATCTTTAGTATATGGTAATTTGTTAAATGGTAATAACATAACTCATTGTGTAAAGGGAGACAACCAAACCACTCTTGAACAAAAAGTTAAGCATTAGAGGAAAAAAACAGGTTATACCAAAAGGAGGGGAGGGGAGCAGACAGTGAGCTAAAAGGTCAGCAAGCAGAGCTACCTCATACGGTTAGGCAGGATGTCCAGGGCACAAATCTGCACAACCACATGGAGAGACCCTGAAAGCACCATTCCCCCCACAACATTCAAAATGTGTCTTATATCTGAAGGATAATAAGGGTTCTATGGGTTTTGGTCTTCAGTTCTATGAAATATCTAGAATCTAAAAGCCATTCTAAAGCAAATAAACTTATTGCTTAAAAGACTGTACTAAACTGCGTTCTCCTAAAAATTTACCTTATTTTGTTATCTAAGAATATCAAAGTGGAAATTTTTATTTATAAAGTCCAATACTCCCCTCAATTTCCCCTTCCCCTTGTCATCAGATAGCAACAGAGGAAGATAAGTAAGACTTCTCATGCTGTCTTTTTTCATTCAGCAATTCCGAATAAGAATTTTTTTCATTATAATACTTATTAAAATGTAGTTTTAATAAATGATCTTGATCCCCTAATAATTACATTTTTGAACAAGAAGTTGACAAATCTGTTGACCAGATAAAAATATTCTTTATCTTGATTGTAGTGTTAGTGGTTGTGGTTACCTGACTAGTTTAAGCTTTTCAAAATTCACAGATGAATTCAAAAATGCACCTAAAAAGGGTGAATTTTACTTAATATCAAGTTCATTTAAATGAACAAAATACCTTTCATTTCTCTAAGGATGTAAAAGTTTTTCTTCTTTCTATACAGTCTTTATTTCCTCTAAGTGATTTCTGCACTACCCCCACATCTGTCTTTAATAGTATAAGTTTCCTCACATGATAGGTGACCCCTGACTGTCCACCTGGGGCAGAGTACCAAAAAGCTGACTGTAAGTGCCTTGCTTAAATGTGAAGTTTATCAACTGTGGGCTTCATTATATGGTGATTTGGCCCATTTCTTGTGGACCTCTGATCTACATTTGGAAGATTTAGTCTTAAGATCTCTATATCAGCATGTAAATAATTATCTAATCCCTCTTTTTTCAGCAGCTATCCCCACTATCATGTATAACCTGTGTCCTCCAGCAGAGAGACTTTCTGTTTAACCCTCTCCAGAGAAAAAAATCTCCAGTCTTCTGCAAAGGTGAAAGAAGGACAGTCACCCAACTGTGTGGAACAGGAGATCTAACTATTTTGTTTTTTTTTAAATTGATGTGAAATTCACATAACATTACTATTTCAAAGTGTACAATTCAGTGGCATTTAGTATACTTACACTGTTGTACAAACCACCATTTCTACCAAGTTCCAAAACAGTTTCAGTGCCCCAAAAGAAAACCCTGTACCCATTAAGCAGTCCCTCTTCATTTTCCCCTCTTCCCAGCCCCTGGCAATGACCAATCAGCTTTCTGCATCTATAGGTTGCCTATTCTAGACATTTCATATAAATGTAACCATACAATATGTGACCTTTGTGTCTGGCTTCTTTCACTTAGCATGTTTTCAAAGTTCACCCATGTTATGGCACATGTCAGTACTCATGCTTTGTCATGACCAAAAATAATAATATCTCATTGTATGGATATACCACATTTTGTTTATCCATTCATCCACTGATGGACATTTGGGTTGTTTCTAGCTTTTGGCTATGTGAATAGTGCTGCTATGAGCACTGTGTACAAGTATTTGAGTCCTTGTTTTCAACTCTTTTGAGTATATCCCTCGGAGTGGAATTGCTGGGTTAAATGGTATTCTGTGTTTAACTGGGTCTAACTGCTTTCTACACAGAACTTTGAATCAATCCTTTTACTTTAGACCTACCCGCAGCCCTCCCAAGATATTTCTAAAGGTAACTTGGTGCATGCATTTCCTGAACCTATAAGGGTTCCATGATCATTTCAGATTAGTTCTCGGTTTTCTACAATGCTGTCTTAGTATTCAACTTTCTCCAGTTGGCTAGATCACTTATTATTCAGCCATCTGCTTTCTTGCTTCAAAATGATTACTGCTGTTCTTTCCTCTCCCATCCTTGCCCTAGTAAGTTTGTGTCTTCTTTCTATCATGTTACTGTCATTTTAATGGGAGTTCAGAAGGGAGTAAAGGAATAACAGGTATACTCAATCTTCTATTTCAAATCAGAAATCCATAATAAACATTTCAATATCACCTATCTACTATTCTGTCTATCCAATTCAAATGCCTCTCAAGTATAATGAACTTATTATGGGGGACCGTAAGAATATATAAGGATAATCTCTGCTCTCAGTAAGCTGACAAACTGGTCAAGAAGATACAGTAATATGAAGGTCATCTTCTTACACATGTTAAAGACTGTATGAATGTTAAGGTTCTGTTATATTCTGATATAGTAAACTTACGGAGGGCTGAAAGGGAAAACCCACAACCATCGGTAGGACAGGTCTCAAATGAAGTATGAAGTCATCCCTGGCATCAATTACTAGGAAAGGAGTTCCAGTCAGAAATGAGGAATTGAGAAGGAAGTGAACCCTAGAAAATCAAGAGTGGAGACTCAGTTTCTTTCAATATTTGCCACCAGGATCAGTCCTTGAAGGCTCAAAATATCTAGGTGGATGTTTTGAGTTGATATGGATCAACCTAGTCACTGACATGTGCAGAGAATCCCAAACTGGAGACACAACCAGACTTTGGAATCTGAGTAATTCGGACCATATAATGATTCTTCTTTTTATTATCTCATATTTTCAGAGAGTCTTGTTGGAATGCTGTAATCTTGTCTCACCTATAACACTGTTGACAGTTACACATCCACACAGGCCAGTGGTGAAAAGGAAACAGTCAACCCCTTAGCAGTGGGAGGTCTAAGAGACTGCCACTTCCTAGACAATATTTCTTTCAAATGTTCTTTTGGAAGATTATCTTTCAGTGTCAACTTGAAAGGTTCTGAATTTTATTTTATTTTTTTTTGAGAGAGAGAGAGAGAGAGAGAGAGCGCGCGCGCACGGGGGAGGGGCAGAGGGAGAGGAAGAGAGAGAATTTTAAGCAGGCTCCACCCTCAACCTGGACCCCAACGTGGGGCTCAATCTCAGAACCCTGATATCACCTGAGCCAAAATCAAGAGTCGGACACTTGACTGAGCCACGTAGGCACCCCTGAATTTTATTTTTTAAGAAAGAAAAGTATCCTTTTAATATACAAGTACACAAGTATTATATATGCACTTATTGATTAGGTGGACTCTTTAAGCCTTGGTTTATGAGAATAAAACAAAACAATCTTGGTAATGCATTTACCACAATGTTTCACGTATATTGAGTGCTTAAAAAAATTAGTATTAGCAGCTCCCACTATGATTACTATATCTCCTCCTCCTACAATTATTAATGCTATTGTTATTACAAGGTAAGTACCAAAAGAGAACATGGGAAGGAGGGAGAGACCACACTGAGTGCTGTGATAGGGAAAAGCTTCACAGAAGGACCAAGATTTTGAGCTGGGATCTGAGTTTGAGAAGATGATCATTTTAGACAGAGGATGATATCATGGAAAAAACAATTGAAGGGAAACTACAAGCTCTTTTGGATGTAAGAAATAGATTTTTAGCCTCAGACTAATGCAAAAATTTTCAAATGTGTATCTCCAAGTATAGATTTTAAGAACAGCCAATGAACTTGATGAGAATATTTAAGGAATATTTTATTTTTTTAAAAGATTTTATTTATTTGAGAGAGAAAGAGAGTGCACGAGCACAGAAGAGCGGGGTGAGGGGCAGAGGGAGAAGCAGACTCCCCGCTGAGCAGGAAGACCAATGTGGGGCTTGATTCCCGAACTCCGGGATCATGACCTGAGCCAAAGGCAGATGCTTAACCGACTGAGCCACCCAGGTGCCCCTTAAGGAAAAATTTTAAATAAAAAGTCCCTTTCTAACAAAGCAGTCTAAATATCCTGCTATTACACAGAGAAATGATCTGACCAGATTTAATAATTTCCTTATAATACAAATTACTTTCACTAGATGTATCAAAGTATCTCAATTTCTTCACACACAAGATTTTAACTATTCCACAAAACAGAAACCAAAGCAACTTAATACAACTAAAATCAAAGCAGGCTGTTTTAAACATTAATGACTGCCCCTATTAGCAAGACAAGAGAAACTGGTCATGTGACAAATACTTAGCAAGAAACTGTGCATATTTATATATTTGCACAATATTTATGTTAATATATTATTTTTTGTCAATAAAAAGCTGTAATAAATAATATTTTGTGGTAGTAATAAGAGATCTGGAGTATTTTATTAATTTTATTATCAACTCTCAAGCACCTAATTTTACTAAAGAGGTTTTGGGCTAATTTTTTACTATACTCTTTAAAAACACTATTCTTCCTCTTCTTTTCCATAATTCCAACTATTATCCCAATCAGCCATTTTCTTTCTAACATGCTAATTTTTACGCATATATCTCCTAAATTTTCTTGCTTGCTAAAAATAGAAGTCCTTCAAAATATCAAAACCACATGCTTTTGTGATGGCCCATAGTTTCTTACCTGCACTTCTCAAATTAGGGTCCAGCCCTGGCATCTCTTTGTTAGCTTCAGGGCTGACACTGTAGATTGATGCCCCTGCTTCACTGACGATACTGAGAAGAAAGAAAAGGGGGAATATCATTTTCCAAACTTTCTGCCTGGTCAAAGAAAATTAATGAATAAGACTGGGCATCATAAGGAAAAAAACTGCAGGGCTAACTGCTCTCTTTATATTTCAATGGTACCTATAGCATTTAATTTTTCATAAACATCAAGTGATCAAGTAAGGTTTGTGTTTGCCACAGAGGAAATACACAGGTTTAAATCTATAACGAATTCATTCAGTTGTTTTCTGTCAGTAGTAATGACACAGTTTATAGGTGAATACAAAGGATCCTTTCCCCTAATGCCAACTTTGAATTTCCAGAATATACTGAGATTCTTTATGTTTATAATCTATTATTGACTAACACTTATGACTCCCAACTGAATTAATCATTCTAAAACATCATGGAGAGCACATACATGTGTGTGGATATGTGCACATGTGGATATATACAAAAACCACTGCCATAAACACTGCCATGATCACTACTCAATTATAATGAACAACCACAATGTGAATAGGAAAGGGATCAGATAAGATATTATCCCACTTCTTTTCAGGAGGTCTGAAATCATCCTTTTAGTAAACTTGAAGCCTTTCACTTTAGGCAGGTGTTAAACCATTTATTTAATCAAAGCATCACACACATTATCCTCTTCTTTGGCTCCAAATACTTTACAAACCACGATGGGAACACTCTTTTACAGTGGACAAGTATATAGTAGTTGACATCACTACAGTTTATTCAACATTTTTAAGTTAGAGGTTTCCTTTTTTCAGATTTTATTTATTTCTGAGAGAGAGAGAGAGAGCGCGCGTGTGCACGTGCACAAGCGGGGGCGGGTTTGGGTAGGGCAGAGGAAGAGGGAGAAGCAGACTCCCCACTGGATGGGGAGCCAGATACAGGGCTCGATCCCAGGACCCTGAGATCATGACCTGAGCCAAAGTCAGACACTTAATAGCCTGAGCCATCCAGGTGCCCCTAAGTTAGAGGTATTCTCTATGACATAATATGCAAAGAAACATCATCTACCCGAAGTATTCATGATACCTGTGGCTCTACCACAAGACCATCTAGGTGTCAAGACTCAAAAGCAGAAACATGTTTGTGCTTTTTAATCCACTCTCAGAAACTTCTTCCTTTCTCTGTTCCTCAATATTTACTTTAATTGTGAGACAAGTTTAGTGGATAACTTTTAACATATTGCCCCATTGTAACAGCTGAACACTGACAAGAAAAATGTGAAAAAGTTAGTTTGCTACCCCTGTCTTTGAAGAACTCTTGACTGAACTTAGACAACAATCATAGCCACCAAGACTTGAGAAGATTATTTTGGGGAACATGAAGATTTATATTTTTTGCAACCAAGTCTACTGTCCTAAATTTCATAATAGGAAAAATGAACACTCTGTAATTGTTTATCCTCATCAATACTATCATCATGGTACAGAAAGAGGTAATTGAGTGCATATTACACACAAAGTACAAAACCAACCACTTTGTAGACATTATCTCATTTAATTCTTTTATGGTGATTTTTTTAAACAGATAAGTAATATGCCCAAAGTCATTTGGCTGGTAAGCTACTGAGCTGAATTTGAACTCTCATCTGCTTTAAGCCTAAGTCTGAACTCTTAACCAGCACACATAAGTAATTTCTGAATAGCTTCAGAAACCTCTCATTAAAATGAAAACCCAGGGGTACCTGGGTGGCTCAGTTCGTTAAGTGGCTGCCTTCAGCTCAGATCATGATCCCAGGGTCCTGGGATCGAGCCCCGCATCAGGCTCCCTGCTCAGCGGAGAGCCTGCTTCTCCCTCTCCCTCTGCCTGCCTTTCTGCCTACTTGTGCTCTCTCTCTCTGTCTCTGTCAAATAAGTGAATGAAATCTTAAAAAAAAAAATGAAAACCCATACTCTTGTGCTAAATAAGTGTAGTAACATCTTTTTAAGGAAGAACCATTTTCTTCCTTTCTTATGTGTCTAAGGTAGAATCTAAAGCATGTAGAAGGTCAAATATATTCTATAATTTCAGAGATGGACTTTAAAATTAAAAAGTAATTGTGCTTTTTCTCCAAAATAAGATTTAGATTCTGCTCATCTTCTACTATGTAATGATCAAGGAGAAAATGTAATGTCAAATAAAGCTTGAAGTGAAGAAAATTCTTAGTGTGGCATAACAGGATGTTAAAACCAACACTCTAGAAGGGATTTTTTCAGTTCCATTATAGTGGCACTTTCTAACCAGGGGCCCTTGGTCCTCTGGGCAGGGAGAAACAGGATTAATTAAAACTGCATACAAAATACCCTTGTTTATGCATTTTTTTTCCTAGGAAAAGGGATTATAGTTTTCAGTGATTACTTAAAGAAACCCATAACCCCTGAAAAAGTTAGGAAGCACCATCACAGGATAAGAATATTCAGTCACTGGTCATGGAAAATATGGTTTCAAATACAAATCACTCAGTCTAACAAAGTTTTTTCTAAAAAAACTCAAGTATCAGAGAGGGGGGCAGAAGGTATAATGGAGCAAATTATAGCAGAGAGCTTCCCTAATTTGGGGAAAGAAACAGGCATGAAAATCCAGGAAGCACAGAGAACCCCTCTCAAAATCAATAAAAATAGGTCAACACCCCAACATCTAATAGTAAAACTTACGAGTCTCATAGACAAAGAGAAAATCCTGAAAGCAGCTCGGGAGAAGAAATATGTAACCTACAA